GAAAAAGAAAAAGAGAGAGAGGGGAAAAGAAAAGAAAAGAAATGCTGATCTTTAGCTTTGATCCCTTATCATGGGAAGTGGACCCTGTTGGGAGCTGCGCAGCTTCTTGAGTCCTGAAGTCAAGCAGGATGCTGCTATCCTTGTTGCCTGCTGCAAACCGAGTTGCACACGGGCTTTTTGCACGGTGACTGTGGACCATTCAGCTCGCAGAGTGGACAGCAAAGGAAGACACACAGTGTGTGCTGGAGCCGCAGCTCACCTGGGGGAGTAAGTTCCAACAGTGGGGTGCAGCTCATGCCCAGTGTACTGTTGTCCTCCAAAAAACTGGTCTGAGGTACTTCCTGAGTTCACCGTGGTATCCCAGGGCAACATGGTACCCAGTTTGGGAACTGCAGGCTTACCCTCCTTTTCAGGAGGCTTGATGGACAGACCAGAAGGTGGTGCATGTCACCCATTCCCTGCTGAGGTGGCTGCTCCCTGAGCCTGGTCATCTCAACCCCGGAAGTCAGCCTGGCATCCCTCTGTATGTGGCAAGTGGCATCAGGGCAGGGGTGGCTGTGCCCAGCCAGGGTGACTGGCCCTGGAGACATGCCCATTGTAGCCGCTCTCCAGGAGGAGCGCTCGCCACGGCGTTACCTGACCCTGGCCGGCCCTTCGCTCTGACTGTGGCTTCTGGAAGTGAGGTGTGGAGGGCGCGGACAGCTCTGGTGGGTTGAGAGTGAACCCACGTGCACGAGACCTTCCCTGCAGGACAGTCACAAGCGCCGCCTCTCTAATGCGTCTGTGTGCCGGGCGCTGTTCTAACAGCTTGTTAAGAATTAGGTCCTTAAATTCTCACCACAACCCCAAGCCTCCGGTCTAATTCTAACCCCCACCCCTACGGTGACTGTGACCAGGACCGAGGGCTTTCACACTGAGCTACATCCATCGCTAACCTTTTTATTTATTTTTAAGTTTGATTTAACTAACTTACCGAGTTTCCAGCTTGGGCTCAGGCGCCCGGTCCTCCTGCCACAGCCGACGGCCACTAGTGCAGGGCCAACATGAGCCTTTGTTACAGATGGGAGAACAGAGGCAGGAGGACGCTCAGTATCTGGCCGGGCTTCAGGGAGCTAGGGGGCAATGGAGGCGGAATGTGAACCCAGCCCACGGGTGCCGTCCAAGTCGAGCCTTCTTCGTTGCTCGGGAAGCCTGGCCTCCAAGCCCTCTCAGTGCTGCCTCGTGGCTGCTTGCTGCTGCGGACAGGCAGGGAAACATTCTGTCTCCTCTGCTGAGCAGCAGGCGCCTTTCCTTCCTCTGAGGCCCCTGGAAGGCATGCTGAAGGGAGCCCTGTACAGAAAGCACTTGGGATCGCAGGGCTCTGGCTGGCGGCCCCATCTGTCTGCGCCCCCTGATTCCCGCTGCAAAGTGCACAGGAGCCTGGCAGCCGGCAGGGGGCAGCACAGAGCCGCAGAAGAACCTTCTCTCCCTCCAGGCCTAGAGGCACTGGCTGTTCGCGCAGAGATCTGAGGCCTGATGGTGTTTCTTGTCCCTTTAAGCAGAACATTTAAGGTGGTTTTGCTAAGCTAAACAACTAGGAATAAAACTGCAGCCTGACAGGGTGAGCTCGAGGGACAGCCAAGGCCGACTCAGAAGTAACTTTCTGTGAGAGCTGGTTCTGCCTTGCAGGGGCAAAGGCGGCGCCTCCCAGGTCGGGGACCTCCCAGTCTCCACTGATGCGCTGTCCTTCGCCAAATTCTCCTAGTTTAGCTGGACGTCTCTTTGGGGAGGAACCACTTAGAAGATGCCTCCAGGATTTCAGCCGTGGGAGAAATGACCTTTGCACAAAAATACATTTGGTCTGCGTGTCTGCCGGCTGCGGAATTGGGCTCTGTGGGGCTTCCTGGCCCAGGGGGGAGAGCTCTGATCCCTCCTCCTGGAGGCCCCAGAGTGGACACTGCTCCAGGCTTGGCCCTGGCTGCTGCCCATGGAGCTGCCAGAGTGGCTCACTGGCCAGGCTGGGCCCTGCAGGGGCCCGGGGACAGCAGAGGCAGCCCCTGCAGGGATACGCTGCCTTCTGTGCCACATCGGCACGGGCACACGAGGCCAGCCCAGGCCTGGCGGCCCGCGCCGTGCCATGACACTGGGCAGTCCTCGCTCTCTTCTGTCCCCACGTGGAGCTAACAGCACAATCTCTACAAGGCCTATTTGGCTCTCTGTTGTCTTTTTCATCCAATACGAAAAGCTGGGTCCTTTGACGCGCTAAGTGTCAGGGATCATTTTTATCATGGATGCTGAAGGGTATGGATCAGTGGCCGTGGTATCCCTGGGGAGTTGTAGTTAATATGCATGAAAGGAGGTCTATTGCTGGGAGGGGTGCTCCTGGGCCTCAGAAGGCTACTGAGAATGTGATGGTGAGTCAGAAGGGCACTTCCGGCATCCTTGGTGAGTGCCCATCCCACTCTTCTGAGAGGGCCCAAGCGGTTTGCTTGTGGGGCTGCCTTTGTGTGCCTGTGACCCAAGCCCGTGTGCACCTCCATCCACAGCCTGGTCTGCAGAACGCGGTAGGCTGTGAGGCTTCACCGGCAGCAGCCTCGGTCTGCCGCAGGTGTTGCTCTTGCCTGCATCGGCCTTCCACCCCGCCCCCTGCTGTTTTCCAGCATCCTTTCTGCTTCTTTGCTCCACAGAAGGGCAGGGCTGGCATTATGGTTAGTGTCTGGATGTCCTCCAAAAGCCTCATGCAATCGGGAAGAGTGGGCTTTTCAAAGGGGGCTGGATCTAGAGTTGGTGAGGGACTCATGGCCCAGTGCTGGGACTAAGAGTGTGAGTGATGTACCTGCCCTAGGGCAGGTAGCCTGCACACAACGTAAGGGGCAGAAAGAGGCTTGTTCCTTCTCTTTCTCGTTGCTTCTGCTGTCCTCTGCTGCCCCTTTGCCATGTGCCACCCTGCCCTCGAGCCGACTAGGGACTGAAACCTCTATAAACTATGAGCTATAAACAAAAACCTTTTCCTCCTTTAACCTTGGGTGTTGGGTATTTTGTCACAGCAATGAGAAAATTTTGAAAGGATTTTTGCAATTTTACTTTGATGACTCTTTGGCTTCCTATCATTCACTGAATTGGTGGTTGGCTAAGATTGCCTGGCATTCATTGTGCAAACTCAAGATTCTTGAGAATTGCAAAGGGTCCTGCTCGCTCACCCCACCCCAGTTAAGGGTGTCAGCCCCTAACTGTGGCCCACAGCTGAAAGATGCCTGCATTCCTGACTTTTCTAATCACACACACACACACACAGTCACACACTCACACTCACACACGCCCATACACAGCCCATTCTCTATTTGCCAATCTTAATGCAGCTACTATGTTCAGAATGTGAACATTGCTCCTCTCCACCGCCACACACACATTTTCCTAAGTGAAAAGTCCCGAAGAGGAACAACAGCAAGGTGCAGGGCTCCTGGCTGGCCGCGGTGACCATTCTGAAGCAGCTGAACTTCCTTCCAGATTTCTTCAAACTGCAGAGTAGGGTTCTGCTGCTTGTGCATTAAATCCCCCCCACCCCCTCACAACGTCAACCGTTCGCACTTTCATTCTGTCCATCAGGCAGTGCTCACAAGCCATCTTCGTATGATCACTTGGCGGCTGGTTCCGGCTTCCTGTCTGTGGGTTGCAAGGACCTGCCCGCCTCGGCTGAGTGTGTAGACTCCTGTGAGCTCTCGACTATAGTTTCTGAAGTTGTGGGGTTTTGTTTTTGTCCTCCCTTCCAGTCCATTTGCTCCATGAAAGCCAAGATGCTTTACTATAGGTCCAGTGTTACGTCTTCATTGGTGAGATAAATGCGAGGCTCACAGTAGGAGACTGTTAGGGCTCGATCAGCGGATGAGCATTTGATTTCTTCCACACTAGCATCATGGAAGAGAACAGGGCTGAGCTAGGTGCTCTTGGGAAGAGGCCAGGCTGGACAAATCACCCCTAGTACACTCCTGTTCCCTGTGATGACACAGCTTTCCCACCCACGTGGCCCTACTAGCTCCTGTCCCCCCGCCCAGGGCTCTCTGGGTTGGAGTTACCCTCTGTGTATTGATTGACCCATTAGATGGCTTCCCTCTTAAGAGAGGGGCCACTTTCTCCCAGGTTGTTTTTAATCCCCAGGGCCCAAGGAATGGTCAGTGCTCAGGAAATGTCCAACAAATTGAAATTTGGTTAAGTGGATCCAGCCTGTGGATTTTAGCTTAGCTCAGCACTTTTCTCAAAATGATACCAAGATTTATACAGAATTCCAGATAAAGTGGCCATCAGATGATTAAACCTATACCCAGGGCTTGCTGTCCCTCAAGTACCAAGGACAAGCCTGAGCCCTGGATAGCCGTCACAGCAGCAGATAGGGACTCCAAATGGTGGGAGTTACCACTGACTGCAAAATTGAAATTAACCAAGTATCTAATTAACTGTTCTCAGAGCATACGGGTGTGTGAATTCTGCTATGTGCTGAATTTGGTGCTTGTAAACATTTCATTGCATTTGACGATGATTTGTGGCTTAGATTTTTCTCAAGTCTCAAGATTCTTGAGTTTGCACAGTGAATGCTAGGAAATCTTAGCCAACCATCAATTTAGTGAATGATAGGAAGCCAAAGAGTTGTCAAAGCAAAATTGCAAAACTCCTTTCAAAATTTTTATGGTAAACCATTTAATGGTCAATAGGGAAGTACTTTAATACTGTGTATTCAATGCGGAGTGAAGTGCTTTAACAGTAAGGTCATTGTGGCTAATCTCTCAATCAATCTCTCCCCCCCCCCACACACACAGCATTCTAACATAATTTTCAGTACTTCAATGGATTTTCCTAAAATTAGAAATACTGGTTTCCTACTCAAGATGTGTTTAGATGCATTCCTGTAAAGCATTGTAGTAACCAGACATCTCAACTGACCAACATAAAATGATCTCCTTGGCCTTCATGGAGTTTGCTCATTGAACGTCTTCTGTTTTTTAATCTAACTTTTCATCTTCTTTCAGGAATCCTGTTCACAATGTTGGTATTTGGACCAGCCTGCGGATTTATTCTGGGCTCTTTCTGTACCAAAATCTATGTGGACGCAGTATTCATCGACACAAGTAAGGAATAGATCTCAATGTCTCACTGTCCTCTATAAGCCTTTCCTCTCTTGTAAGGGAAGCTTCAGCATACTAGATTCTAAAATGTACTAGGCGATAGCCCTGTGCAAGCTTCCATCCCTGTGACAAATATCTGAGAAAAATTAAAAGAGGAAACAGCTGGGCATCACAATACATGCCTGTAATTGCTGTCCTCTAAGAAGGGGCTAAGGTAGGATTACAATTTCAAGACCAAGCTCAGAACTTAGGGACTTAGCAAGACCTTGTCTCCATAAAAATGAAAAAAAAAAATGTTTATTTTGGCTCATGATTTCGGAGGTCTCATTCCATGGCCACATGGCCTGCTGTCTTCGGGTCCACGGTAGGGTAGCACGGCATGATGGGAAAGTGGAGCATGTGGTGGAGTAGTGCTACTAAGCTCACAACAGCTAGGAACTGCAGAAATGAAGTTTCCAGGGTCCATGCTATCCCTTCCTGGGGCACCCCAGGGACCTAGCCTCCTTCCCATAGGCCACACCTTCTCAGTCATACCACCTCCCAGCAGTGCCACAGACTGGTGACCAGTCTTGAGCACGTGGGCCTTTAAAGGACGTTTGAGATCCAAACGATAAGAAGCCTTAATGCTGCTGCCTCTCTTTCTGGTCCGCGGGGCCTGTGCTCAGTCCCAGGTTTTGCCACTTCTGTCCAGCGGTGAGTAACGCCCTATACTAAAGTTCCTCTGCAAACCTATTTTCCCACCTATAAATTAAGGGGAATAATCACCGTATCGGCCTCGGGGCTCTTTTTAAGAATTAAGTGATGGGATAAATGGGAATGTTGGCCCAAGAACATATATGACAACGCTACCTTCCACCCCAAAAGTTGGCTTGTGTGTGCTAGAACTGTGAAATGTAAATATGCAACTGGGATCTAGGAGACAGATCCCTTGAAAAGCCTCTCTGTAAGTCTCTGTTTTTATCTCGCATTCAAAATTATCTTACGCAAAACCTATGTGACCCTAGCAGGAAGAGTGAGTTTATTCCTGGACTGGCAGAGGGCTCGAGTCCGGGATTGTGGGATGGAACAGTATGCTAGCCAGGGGGCAAGGCCATGCTGTGGTGAAAAATCCCCCCAAACCAGTGACCTTAAACAACCAAAGTTTATTTCTTGGTGACACTACATCTATGACACACTTTGGTGGGAGGGTGGGACGTGGCCTATCATGGTATCTTTAGAGCCAGAATTATAGAAGTTCCATCTGGACCTCAGCTGGTGCAGATGCCATGGCAGGAAGCAAATCTGTGACAAGTTCAACACACAACCTTGAAACTTGTGCCCAGAAATCACACACACACACACACACACACACACACACACGCACGCACACATACATGCACACACACACGGACACATGCATGCAGCCATGCATGCATCCATTTATACTCATGTTTCCTTGCCTAAGCTACCCTCACTCACATGGCTGTATCGCCTTTCTTCTGCTCCATCACGAGTGACCCGTGGGGACTGAGTGGAAGAAGCAGGCCTTTGCCATCCCCAGCTTGTCTGCGGGTCTGGAATGCAGGAGCAGCTCACTGATCTGCCTCAGATCTTCCGAGAGGCCGCAGTCAAGCTTGCAGTCTGGTCTGCGGTCATCAGGAGGCCCGACAGGGGCTCACGCTGGAGGATCCGCTTGGAAGTACAGCTGTGGTGCTGGAAGGGCTCCGAAGGCCCACTGCTGTCCTCTGAGGGGGCTTCAGGTGCCCTAAAGCAAGCCACACAGGCAAAGATGAGAGAGGACACCTGAGCCGGGAGCTCTTCCAAGTCTTTTTTTATAATATCCTCTCAGAAAAATCCTCTCATCTGGCTTCTGCATACTGTTTGCAAAAAAGCCAGTCCTTTGTTGAGGTCCTCTACCAAGGAGAATTATTATTACATGAGGTTTTTAGGGGGTTTTTTAGGTGTTGGGTAGTGAATCCAGGGCTTTTGAGTTGACTTTAAACCCCAGCTTTTATTTTTTCATTTTGAGACAGAGTCTCATGAAGTCTATAAGTTTCCCAGATCGGACTGTAACTTGTGATCTTCCTGCCTCAGCATCCCAGAATTCTAGACTTACAGGCATGTACAACTATGCCCAGTTTGTTCAAGGACTTAAATACATACCAGTGGGCAGGGACCTTTGGGGACCATCTGAGAAGCTGCCTACTATGTGTGCTCACAATGCTACTACCCCCTGCCTAAAAGAGAACATTGCTTTTTCTCATGGTCCAGCAAGTAGCAAAGCTACATTTCCTTTCTTTTTGAAAACAGGGTGGGAAGCCATTCCTGCTTCTTCTCACGCTGATCTGTTCTCAGGATCAATAAGAATTCTCAGTCCCTGGGCTCCTAATCCATCATCTCATGACAGTGCTAAATTTACTAATTCACCCCAAAGAAATAATGTGGTTTTAAATCCAATCAAGTCGCTTTGTGATTCACTCCATTAATCCCACTGATATATTTACTTGTAGCTAATGATGTTACAAATTTCCAAGTGGAAAATAAAATCAGATGCAGCCCTCTTTATTCTCACAGCGAGGTGATTGGGTGCTGGTGTTTTCCAGCAGCTGGCTGGCCCTGTGAGCCTTCTCCTACAGAGCAAGGCATGCTGGGAAAAGGAGTCAGCTGCCATGTTGATTATGCTGATAGAAAACCCAGCTTCACTGCTGCACCGGAAACAGCACAAGGCAGTGCTAGCAGGAGGATGAAGCAGTGTCCCAGGGCAATGGAGAAGCCACGCTGAAGGGGAAAGGAAGTGGTTGGGTGAGGATTTCCCCTCAATAGATCCAGGTTGGCCCCTCAAACCTAGTCTGTGAGGGACCAGAATCTCTGAACTTCAGATATCACTTTCTTCAAACTCTGTCATTTTGCCATTGAGGCAACTGAGTCCCAGAAGAAGAAGGGAATTGTCAACCCAAAGGGATCTGTGCAAATCTCAGGTCCTCAGAGACAGCTGACAGGAATTTCTGCTTCACCAATCTCCCTCCTGAGAATGAAGCAGTATCTTTCCTCAAGGCCAAGAATAAGCAAAGGACAGACAGGGGGCTGGGTGCTGAGGGTGTCCACTCATAGTCCCATGGGCTTGCTGGCCCGGTTCCTTCAGCCTACAATGCTGTTCTCATCCCATTCTATTCCCATCCCATTCCCTGGACTCTGAAATGACTGCATCCATATTCTGAGCTCAGTCACAGTTAGGAAGTGCCCTGCAGGTAGCAAGGTGGGTGTACTTCCTGTCTGCCTAGGCACCTCGCTGCTAGCAGCCCTCTCCACTCCCAAGCAGGCAGTGGGTGTCCAGGTCTGCTTCTAGGAAGTGCAGAATGCCTTGTGAATGAATCAAAGGCTTTGTCTGCTTCTTCCTGGATGCTCTGGAAGGTCAGTGCTGCTGGTCACCAGCAGAGGGCAGAAGAACACCACCTACTTTCTACAGCCCCAGCACTCTATAGTTTCCAGCTATGTTCATCACTGCCAATCCCGTGGCTCAAACTTGTCATCTCTAAGTGTGCTTTGGCTGTATCTTTAGGAGGTAGTTCTCCACTCATTAGGATCTGCCTCTCATACCCAACACAGAGGCTGCTTCAGGGCTGTCCAGCAAAGGGCTGCCACCATTAGCATGAACACCAGGGGCTGCGCACCTAGCCACGTTTCTGAAATTCCTGCTGAAAACAGAGAACCAGGAAAGGCAGTGGCTAGAATTTGTGGGGAGGCAGCAGAGCAGATCCATAGTGAGCCCTTGCTGTGGGGCAGGTGGGGAGGAGAACATTCTTTCCCCTTTGAAGCCAGGCAGCGTTGATCAAGCATCCAGGGAGAAAGCCTGCTTGCAACCTGTGGGGCAGGGGAGGGGGAGGGCACCTGGAGGAAGTACATGGAGAGGCTACAGCAGGAAGGGCCGGCTATGGAAAGGGACACTTACCTGCACCTCACCTGCCTGGACCTGGACACAGGATGCTCCAGCCATCGCCTTTCATCTGTTTGGGCCCTGTGTAGAGAATAGATCCCTCCCCTCAGAGCTGGGAAGGAAGGATGGCACTTCCAGAAATGCTCTTTTAGAAAGTCTTTGTACAGCTGCAACTCAGAGGAAAGCAGGACCTGGATAAAGGGGACTTGGTGGCAGAGTCTGCCTCCGATCGATGAACCGCTCAGCCTTAACCTATGCATTTAGTAATGGGAGAAGATTAGGAGCAGTGGTGGATTAAATTGATCACAGATTGTCATAGTTGAAGTATATGTCTCTGTGGGACCTCAGAACCTGGCTCTGTGAGTGCAGGATCAGCTTTTTAGATGAAGCATGATCACACAAAGATTGGAGAGCTCAGGTGCTGGAAACAGACCTCCAGGAATCCCAGCGATACCCTCCACCTTCTCTGTGATCCTGCGGACATTATTCCACATGGCCCTGTGTGCAAATGACATAGTTAATCATGCAGAGCACTCCAGACAGTACCTGTCAGTGCTAAGCACGTAGTAAGTGGTAGGTATAAGGAGGAATTGCAGAAGTGGACTGATTTCCACAGCTGGTAAGGGAAGAAGCAAGGATTCAACCCCAGTCCTGTCTGACGCTAAGGCTTCGCTCTCTGCTAAGCTCCTGAAACCTGAAGTTAGCCAGCAGGCTGCCCTCCTCCATGGACAGAGAGGCCTTGCCGCCGTGGCTAACCTCAGCAGCACATCCATTCAGGCTGGTCCTAAGACTCAGACCAGCTGGCCCTGCAGGCTGCAGCCTGCTGTCTGCAGCTGGAGTGGGTCTGCTAGCTTCCTGGAAAAGGTCAGCACGCTGAGGGTCTCCTGCTCTGCCATCCGCCAGGCTGTTCCTGCTGCCAAATCCCTCCAGCTTGGGCTAAGCAGCCCAATGGCTGGTATCCTGGAAGGATGTGCCACAGCCACTTTGAACTCAACCCCTCACTGTCTCTACTTTCTAATTAGGTTTGTAACTTAACGATACTCTTGGAATCCTTGAGTCCCATAGCAAAACTTTGAGAAAGTAGGTTAAACAAATAGGTAAATGAACTAAAAAACATACTGCCAAGAGAGCCATAGCAGCTTGAACATATTAGAATGATGCAGGGGGAAAAAAAGCAAATAACCCCAATTTGGTTTCACCTGCTCTTCTTAAAATCCTTCTTATCCTCCCGCATGGATTGGTTGATGAGTTTTAAACTAGTTTACTCCTCTTCCCGGTGATCTTTCTTTTGACCTCGGAAATGAATACAAAGCTCAGTGAGTCCCATTTGTTCCCCTTGCCTTCCACAGAGGCAGCAAACAGATGTCAACAGCTTGCTCAGCTTCCCTAGTGAAGCCAGCAAGCTGCAGGAACAGCCCAAAAGCCAGGTGCAGAAGTGGAAGGGCTGCGAAAATGGATCTCATGCAAAAGACCATTTCTGTGCCTGTCAGCACCAACGCCAGGCCCTCTGCTGTGTCTGCTCTCGTGCCAGAGCACCATCCCTCCACAACACCCCTGTGGCAGCTCTAGCCCCACTGTCCTCCCACCCAGCTCCCTGCAAAGCGAAGCAGTGTGTTTCCCAAAGTCTAGAAGGGCCAAGGTTAGGGCAGTGTCTGGAGAAAAGCTCCCCCATTTGCTCTGAGGCCCCTCAGGGGTCGCACCTTTGCTTAGGCTTCCCTTCAGCCAGGGACCTTGACCCCACCGTATTCACCATCTTTCCCCATCCGTGTGTCTGATTTCATTTTCAATTCAATGACAACGTGAATGAGCCACATCGGTGCCTTTCTGTTGGGTTCTGGGTGTCCTAGTGACCCAGGAGCATTCACTGGGAGGCTGAAACTACAGCGGTGAACCAGATTAAAAGAAAAAGGAGTAAGGAAATTTTTAAGTTTGCGCTGTTTCTATGCCTAAAACAATACTTTTACCATTCCAACCCCGCTGGAATCACTATGGTTAGAAAGCAGGAATATACATTTCCTAAGCCTTTTTCCATAGTAGCACAACACACTGCAGTAACAAATATTCCCAAATCCTCAGGGGCTTAGAATCCAAAAGGCTTATCCTTGTTCATACTGAATATCCAGTGCAGACCTGTGGGGGTTGTTTTGTTCGTCATGTAACCTGTCAGAGACCATCAGAAAAGGAGGACAGCCATATATCAGCTCCTACACACTTCACAAAGAAGCAACACAGCTCCTCTCTGCTCACCTTTCATGGACAAAACTCAGACACATGGCCACACTTAACTTCCCAATGTGAGGAGGTCCTCTGTGTCCCAGAAGAAGGGAGAAGCCGATGCTGACACTGGTGACCTCTACTGCACCATTCTTTGCCAACCCACGTGGAGAAGTCTCTCGCAACATCCATTTTTCTAGAACATTCCATAAGGAGTGTTCGCAATTGCCAGCCAAGCAGAGGGAGATTGTCACTGTAACTAGCTGAAAAGTCTCATAAACACAAAATCTCTCATAGAGATGGGTAGAGAAAAGAAGTTTCTCAGACTAGCTTGTCCTCCCTGGTTCTCCTTGGAGGTAGCACACCCCTCCAGCACTGAGAAGTTTCTCCTCAGCATTTCTCTCCCTGTCACACTGCCACACTGCTCAGGAGCACTGAAATGATGGGGGGAAATCAATACCTCCCCAAGTAGCCAACTATTCTTTTCCTAGAGCTGCAGAATCCTGCCTTCAGCTCCCCTCTCTGAAGGCCCGTCTCCACCATCCTTGCTCAAGCATCAGGCGTCTCTTCGTTCTGAACTGGGTGACGCACTCTTTCTTGGCTTTCAATATCCGCTTCCCACACACATGCATCTACCTCCAGGGAGTGTGCCATCACCTTTGCACAAACAACAGCTGCCTTTCCCACCACAGCCCTCTCCCCGGGATGTTTACTCACACATAGAGCAGTCACTAACTGCCTGTGACTTCCTACACAGTACTCACTTTGTTCCTCCCAACTGGCAGGATTTCTCTCCCTTCCCCCACTCACCCCTAGGAGCTCCTCAGAACCCCTTTGCAGAGTTGGTAGACAATGAGGGGAAATGCTGACCTGCCTGCTAGTGGCTTTTGTTTCCATTCATTGCTTGGCATCAGGTAAAGAAGCACAGTAACTGATGCGTGCAAACCTGAGGCAATTTTACTTCCTTTTCTTGTCCCTCATTTGCATAAAGATGCTTTCAAGACCACCGCGGGTTTTGCCATGCCAGACCCTGCTTAAAAGAACCATCCACTGAAATTCCTATTGATATATGAAAAGCATAAAAATAACAAGAGCTGCCGTACATAAAAAGCCTCCTATGAGTTGGGATCTTCACTCATTATCTGTCCTCCCTGCAGCTACTAGGAGGGGGCAGCATCTGTATTTTGCAAATACTGACACTAAAGCTCAGGGAAGGGTAAGGCTGGGCTGGGGCAGAGCTAAGACTCAAGCCCTCTGAGGCTACTCGCACTCTTCCCCATCATGCAGTTAAACAAAAGCATCTGGTCCTTCCTAGTACCATGCTTAGTGCTTACACCAGGGTTTCCAGGACAGAGGTCCACGTTCCAAAGCCAGCTTGCCACCTACCAGAAGACCTTCTCATCTTAGGTCCCTTGCCTGAAGCACAAAGTCGTAATTACCCAAGTGTACAGTGCAGCCAGGAGCGTGGGCCTCGCTGTGCAAACATATGCCTGTAGTCCGCCTTCAGTTCTGTCAATGTGGGCAAAGAACTTAACTCCTGTTTTCCCATCTAAGCAAAAGAGGAATTAAAGCCCCTACTTTGTCCTGTTGGCTGTGACAGCTAAGGATGTGCTCTGCATATTGCCTGGAGCAGAGGGAAGCCCTCCCTAAGTAATGGCAGCATTATCACTAATGCTGGCTGAAGAGTCTTCAGGGAGTGCATTTTATACATGCAGAAGCTTCATCCGGTGCTTGCAGTCACTCCCTCTCCCAGTGCTGTCCATCCATCTGCTTAAGGCCCACAGCACTGTTGGTCTTTAACTCGTACGCTATTTCCCAGGTCTCCAAGAATCCCCTTCTGGGCTCCAGGAGTATCATTTATCATTAAAGAGCCATTTCAAAGCAGCTCATTTCCTACTTTGCAAGGAAACTGTATAGACAAAGAAGGCAAAATATCAATGAATGAGCTGTAGGTTATCTTGTCATGACTTCAGAGGGTGAGTCCAAGAAACAAGAACACAAGCTAGCAAACCACATGCATGGTGCCTGTAAGCGCATGAGTTGGCTACAGAACTTTCTGGAAGAGGGCTGGTGCCAAGCCACAGACCACCAACAAGGTTTGAACTTGCTTAAAAATTTATGGCTACAGCCATAGATGATAAGGTACCTCCACTGAGGGCTTAAGCTATGCCAGGAACTAGGCTGAGTGCCTTATGTCTGGTGGTTCATGTGCTCCCAGGACTGTAAGGTAAGCACTGTCCTCCTAGCCAGTGTGGTTCAGATCAGCAACCAGAGGTGTCAGCAGTCCCACAGCGAGAAGGGGACATGATTTCCATGCTGGTAGCCTTGGTGCATCTCAGATCCAGTTCCATATTCTTGCCCTCCATTTTGTACCTGTCCTCTTTTACACAGTGAGCCTGATTTAAGACAGAGAGTAGATGTTGACTGGGATTTCAGATTAGCCTCTTTGGGAAGATGAGTGACTGTACCAGTAAAAAAAAAAAAAAAAAAAATCTACCCTTGAACAATAAGTGTTTCCCTGTGTTTTCACCAACACACCTTGGCAGCTTTACTAAGCCAGACAATTGCAGCCTAAATTCAGAGGCTGTCTGGCTTCAAACTGTTTTTGTTTAGACTGACATCAGCCCAGGGTAGACAGGAAAATTAAAACAGGAATGTGATCAGTCTCCGGCTTTGGAAGAGGCAGAAGCACTGATGTAGAACAGATAGGTTTCATAGCCGGATGCCCAGTCCGTTCCTGGAGCCCTTGAATTCTCCATGCAGCAGGTTCAGGCCCCCAGCGAATCCCCACAGCCTGCCTGTCCCAGGTGCCACCCTACTGAGCGTGCGCTTTCCCTCTGCAGGTAACCTGGACATCACCCCGGACGACCCCCGCTGGATCGGAGCCTGGTGGGGCGGCTTTCTGCTCTGTGGTGCCTTACTATTCTTCTCTTCCCTCTTGATGTTCGGGTTCCCACAGTCTCTGCCTCCACACTCGGACCCCGCCATGGAGAGCGAGCAGGCCATGCTCCCCGAAAGAGAATACGAGAGGCCCAAGCCCAGCAATGGGGTCCTGCGGCACCCCCTGGAGCCGGACAGCAGTGCCTCCTGCTTCCAGCAGCTAAGAGGTAAAGTGCACTTTGTGTGCCCGTGGTGGTCAGAATGATGGGGCATCGCGAGGGGAGCAGAGGCCAGGCACGGGGTAGAGGACTTGGATTGAGGCCGAATAGTACTTGTTTTAAAAGATTGGCCCCCACCAGCCTTGCGTTTAAGCCATGCCCAGACTTGCTTGAAAAATGCAGCCAGGTTTTATTGATAGGAGCTCAGTGGTAGATAGAACCTGATGGATAAATAAATATAAATGTCTGCAGATGGAAAATCACAAGAAAGGGAGAGAAGATGCTAAATCATCCCAGAACTCTCTCAAATCCTTTTAGGCCACTTAGGAGCATCTTCAAGCATGAAAAGACTTTGGAAGTTGGCTCCCTCTGCCTGGTAGAGGCGCTCTTTAGAAAGCCACCTCCAAAGAGCATTTCTTTAGGTCCACTCTGTTCTTACATGGAAGATAAAAGATGTGCTTCTCCTCCAGAAAGAGAGATGAACTCTTCTTAATAACTGTCTTAGCCACTTTTCTCTCGTGCTGAGACGAAAGTCCAACTCCCAAAGTTAGAGGGGGAAAGGTTTATTTAGCTCAATTTGTAGAGGCTTCAGTCCATCATCAACTGGCTCCAAGGCAGGGTGAAATATGGCAGGGGGCAGCAGCTCATGGCAGCAGGAGAGAGAGAAGGGACAAGCCTCTTTCTGCCCCTTGTATCGTGTGCTGCTGGGGTAGCACTCACACCCTTACTCCTAGCCAGAACTGTGCCAGCCCAGTGCACTGGTTCCCTAGTCACACACCCATAATCCCAGCCTCACACACTAGATCCAGCTGTCTCTGGAAAAGTCCTGTGATCTCATGAGGTTTGGGGACAGGGAAGGGCACCTAGACATAAACCATAACGATAGCCATCCTATTTCAGAATGCAGTATGGAGCTCACTGTCATTTTTAAAAGAAACTAAGCCAGCTCTTCTGATCAAACAGTGAGCCACAAACAAAGATGCAAAATGAAAGGCTTCCCCTGATCATTCTCACCTCTAGCATTGTACATTCAAGGGAAAGAAGATGACAGCTTAGCTGAAAGTGACCCAGCCACCCCAAAGCTGCTCACTGGCACTGCTGCCCCCTGGGGAGCTCTGTGTGGTGTTCCCTGAGGTGCATAACTGTGTGCTGTGGTCTCTCAGAGTACTCTGGACTTCAGGAATGAGCAGATTGCTACAGGCCTGTAGGTGCAGACTGGCAGGGTCTTCCCAGGAAGATGAGGTAGAGCAAAGGTGGGTGGCCGGGCGCTGAGTCCTCACTGGCCTGCAGACCCAGCCTTCTGGGCCTCTTGTAGCATCCCCTAGTGCCAACAGTTTCTTCCCTACACATCTATAAAGGAGGGGCACCTGCTATGGATGAGTGAGAATCACCGTGAGAGCCTAGACTGCAACCTCACTCTCTCCCAGTTCTGCCATATCTCACCCCTCCCAGCCTCATTACCACACATGTGAAACTGTCACGCACTTCTACCTTGACAGCATTGTCCTGGGAACAAAAGCACAGCCAGCTGAAGACTGTTAATCATACCTGGGAGTGTGTGAGGGATTGAAAGAACTGGTGCTATTTCTGCAAAGATGCTCACTAATAACCTAGTGGCATATCTGACCCATGTTCGTCACTGGTTAGTACCAATGCTGTGACTTGGAATTGTCTGTAGAAGGCCTTAAAATTCATTCCTTGGAGTCCCGGATTGCACCGGGAGATGAGAAAGCCACCCCATTGGTATCCTGTGAGGTTTGTGCTCCCTTCATAAATATAGGCTTAATAAAAGAGGCTCCCCAAACTGGATGACTGCTGGGAGCCCCAGCCAGTGAGAGAGAGGTCGAGTGTTCCTCCAACAGGGCCAAGGGCCACTGACACAGTGCCAGGCACCAGACCTACTAGGATAAATCAGTCCCTCTCGCTGGCATGAGGGCAGCTGGGTGTAGGACACCCTCGCCCCAGTGATGATGACAGCATCCTTTCCAGATGCTTCTGGGTGACAGCTCTGTCTTAGAAGAGGTGCCAGTGACCTCTCATTATTCATCTCAGGGCATGCACAATCGAAGGATATGATTGGGCTGTCAAAGGTCTCCCTTTCCAGTGAAGAGCCACATAGCAGCCAAGTAAGACAGGCCAGGGTAGTGGACCTGCAGCAGCCAGTCCTAGGAGGTTCTCAAGACACGGAGGACAGGCACGAAGGCCTCTTCTCCCTGGATGGTGAGAGGGTCAGAGGTGAAGCTGCTGCAGCTTCAGGATGCTTCAATTACTGTTCAGCTGCTCATATCCTTGTTTGTTCCATTCAGTCATTATTTACTGATGCCCTACCAGGGGCTGGGATACAGCTGTGACCAAGGGCCTTATATTTTTGAGATTATGTTTGGAAGATGACAGGGGAAGGCAGATGAATGACAGCATAAGCCCTGGAGGGCCCGCCCTTGTGCTGGCAAGTGCTCCATTGCTAGATGGGTCCAGAACTCACAAACTGTGGCCCATGTGCATTCTGCACTTTAGATGTTTAATGATTCTGCATTTAGGATGAGCAACTATCAGAGGCAGTTGGCCCGCTAATGGCCCAGCCTCTGTCCCAGCAGGAGAGGTAGGCTGCGTCTCCAGAAGATTCCCCCAGAGCCAGAGCACAGCACCATGAGCGACTAAGCTAATCAACAAATCTTATGCGTGCCAGCCCGCGGAGAGGGCTGCCTGCTTACACCCTTTGTTCCCCCCACCCCGTGACATGAGTGTTGTTACCACGTGGCCATTTCCTCCAGAAGCACCATGCAGTGCTGCCTGGCGTTCCCAAAACAACCTCATCCGATCTACATCCCCGCAGCATACTATGCATTGATGGTACAAATACGCCTCAGAGTCACACATCAGAGGAATTACCGTGGCTCTCAAGAGTGACTGCATGTCACTATTTCTCACACGTGTTGCTTGAGCTTGCACAGAGTTTCTTCTTGTGCCATCAGTCTGTGTCCCCGGCAAGCTCCGCAGGCCCCTGAGCAGAGCAGTAGCTCTTCACCCTCTCCCCGAGGCTTCTCAAGCTCCTGCAGGCCTTTGGTCAGCCTGCCTGGAGGCATACAGACCTGGGTTCAAATCCAGCTCAGCCACTCCCCAGCTGAGTATGCAACCTTCAGCAGAGCCTTGTTGCAGAACAGCCAGGGAGTCCCCAGTGCATAGCGACTGTCATAGAGACATTGGGCAGAGCAGCAGCAGATGAGTAAGGGCCCCGCCTTGTGAAACTCCAGCATATCCCCTCAGCGGAAGCCTGCTGTCAAGCGCAGCTTTGCATCTCAGCCTTGAGACTTCTTTCAGGACCCAGCTGAGGCCCCTCCTGATCTTTTTTTTTTTTCCCTCCATAATTTTATTGAGAAACAAATAGCAATGAGACAGTTTCAAACCAAATTGGTAGGACAGTTTCAATAATTAACATGTTGCATACAGTCTTCCTAGTGGTTAATTGCTGTACAAGATGCGGACATGATATCCTATTTACAAACACTATTAGAACAAATCCCTCTATTCAGTAAGAGAATGTAACTATATATCTATCCTAACCATTTTGAATACACAGATACAAAATAGACATTCATCTATATCCCCTTTTTTTGTTTAGTTCTATCATTTGACTATTATAGGTGTGTGAACTCAGCAAAATATTCTAAAAGAGTCCAGTAGTCCATCATAGTATTGGGTCTAGATTTCTGGACTTAAGTGTAAACATAAGAATTATATAATTCTTTATGCCCTCCTGATCTTGCTGTTTGGATGACTCATCTCTCAGGGGCCCCTCCAGCCCCACCCTCTCCGCCTTGTCTAGCACTGTCCTTTGCCCACCTGCACAATCCTTTCTTCACCAGGACTGCCATGCCCCCCTAAATCTAGAAGATACTGGGGGTTTGCAGAATGGTTAGGGTATGGTAGACAAATAGATAATATTTGCACAATCTGGAATGCTAAATCTCAAGCTCACACTTTTATGTTTCATGCTAAGTCATTCTGGTGTCACTTGCCATGGGACACTGGATGGGCAGGACATGAGCTCTGTCCCTGCACCCTCAAGCTCCAGGCAGTCCCTGAAACATACTGGGAATGCTCCATGGCTGTCATTTCTTCCTGGGATCCCTTTTCCTCATGGGGCCCCCTCTGTGCTGGCCTCTCCTGCCCAGGACCCTCAGCCCCCATAGCCCCTCTGAGTACATGTCCCTGGGTCCCCGTATACATTAGCTGTATTACTCTGTCATCCACTTAGCCCCTGTAAAGCCCATTAGTGCAATACCAGGGTGGTCTGTCTGCTTCTTACCATCCATCTGAAGACTGGGGGTTCCCCAAGGGCAAAGTTTTCATTCATCTCTTCATTTCTGGAGTGCAGACACTTTCTTGCACCCGTGCATGAACACGCGCATGCACACACAACAGCCACTGACATTCCTCATCCTTGCATTATCGTATCAAATTCCCCCAGCCCTGTGAGGTATGGGTACTATCAAACAGGTGAGGAAACTGGGACTTAGAGATGGAAAAGCATTTGAGCCCTGGCAGAAGCTCAGTGGCTGAATCCTCAGCCAGAGCACTGTGCTCCCTCTTTAGACAGCAGCCTTTCTCCTAAGCACAGGCAGCACCACCAGGTTCTGATTTTCCAGAAGAATGCATTAGAGCTTTGGCTGTTGCCTGCTAGGGCACAGACGGACCCTAACACAGCAGGTCCTTGAACAAGGCTGAAGCTAAAAGGTGGGGGAGAACCAGCTCCCGGCCAGCACTGGTACATCCTGGCCTTCCAGTGGGTTTTGTAGCTAAGACAAATAGAACAGCACCAGAGATGTAAAACCCACAGGACAGTGGCAGGCTGAGCATGCCTGTGCCTCAGCCCTTCACACCGACGGCCAAGTCCACCAGGTAGCAGAGCCAGGGGACAGCTGAGCAGACCAGGCCTTGGGGCTGAAAGCTACCACCCAGGTCTGGGAGACAATCTGTGATTTCCAGCGCTCTCTCCCTCCCACTCTGTC